AAAAAAAAGAGGAAGGAGACGATGCAGCTGATGATCCTCGTAAACTAAAGCCGGGTGAAATAGATCYTAATCCTGAGACAAAACCTGCCAGGCCTGATCCTAAAGATATGGACGAGGATGAATTGGAAATGTTGTCCGAGGCTCGTGCAAGACTCGCGAATACTCAAGGGAAAAAAGCTAAACGAAAAGCTCGCGAAAAGCAATTATTGCATTGCGTGGATGTTGCGTGGATGTTGCGTGAATGTTGCGTATGTGGAAAGTTGTATGTTTATGTAATCATATTAAAATATGTATATATTTTAATATATTAAGGTTTATTTAAAGTGTGAAAGTGCTGTAGATATTAAAAGAAATGAAATAAATACTAGAAAATGAAAAAAATGATACTGACAATTCAAAACAATGAACCCATAATTATTGAAATTTTTTAAAATTATTTATATCTACTTCTAAATACAAGAGCATTTTTTAAAATAATCTTTTATTTACAAAAAATTGCAGAATTGAATTTAAAACATTTTATATATAATCAACTTTTGTTTATTTATATTACTTGCTACTATATATAACATGCCGTCTTATATATCATATTACAATTAATAATGTAGAAAATACGGATCTTTTTCTTTTTGTATATTTATTGTACGAATACTATTGTCGCCCACTGTATATAATCTTTTACATATATTTGCTTCTATTTTTTTTATTTTTTTATTTTATTTCTAAGGGAAATTAAACAATTATTAAATAAACTATAAAATTGTTAAAAATTTTACTAATTTATTTTATTTTCATAATTAAATTGTAAATTGGAAAGGATAGTTATGTTGGTGATATTATTTCTACAAATATTCAATGAAAACGAGTAATTACAACAGATAATGACGATAGTAAGAGCGATTTCTATGAAATTGTTTTTTCACTTCGGAAGCAATGTAAAATCATATCTGATAACGAGGAAGAATGTAAAAATAAGGATTGCGAAATTAATCGTATATATCTAAGGAATGTATATGGAAAGACATTGAAAATATAAGCAAAATATGGCAATATTCACGAATTTCTAGAATAAACATAATAGTTGAACAAAATGTCATTTGTTTTACAAATGGTAACTATTACAATACTTTTGGAAAATCGTTACGAAAGAATCTAATCATTACGCGAGTCAAACGACCTAATTGTAAGATGAAATTCGTAAATTAAAAAAGTTTGAAGGTTATGTAAGAGATAAAAGTAAAAATGAAATAATTGTTTATTTTGTTTCATCTATTTGATGTTACGAGTGAAAAAATGAAATATTCAATCTTATTGGTCTAACAGAAACATAATTGAGGATACCATATTTCGAAAAACAATGTCATTTTGGAGATTTGTCCAACTTTCTCGCTTTTTACATTTCATTAACAACGAAGTTGTAGACAAAAATAATGGTCATTTATATAAATTGCGAAATATAATCGACTATTTAAATGAAAAATTGAAGACTACTACAGTCTTGAAGAATATGTATTATTAGATGAATCTCTAATAAAGTATACAGGCTGCATATCATATAAGCAGGAGAATCCATTGAAAAGAGCACGCTTTTGGAGTAAAATTTTATAAATTATATGAATCAAAATCAGGATGCTGGATTCAGTTTAAAATATGTACGGGTCAAAATATTTAAAAAAATTCACTAGTATAAAAACTCAAACGAACCAATTAAAAAATTTAGTGTTTTTCTGATACAGAAGTAAAAAAAAAGAAGATAGTATGAAGAACTCAAATAAATGTACTTCGTCTTGCTATGAAAATATTAAAAGATATGGATATGAACCTATATAATTATCAAGGTGCAGTACAGTCAACAAATAATACAATAAAGAGATGGGACAAAAAACCGATAAAAAAACATTGACGTAAAATGCTCGAAGAAAAGATTATATAATAATGTTACGAATGGTTTTTAGACCTAGCCGACATATTAAAAGCAAAATATCAAAAACAAAAATTTATGAAAAAAATAAGATAACTGCACTATATTCTATCGATATTCAATTTAATAGAAGTAAATGCTTGACTATTATATATGTAACTCTTAATTTAAAAAATATGTAGCATAAATAATTAAAAGATTCTATACTGTATAATACGAGAAGCAAGAATTAATCTAGTTTCGTAGTCTTTGAAATAGAAATTGCTTCTTACTTATATAAAAAAAAGAAAAAATGTAAAAGAGAACAGCACAATAATAAAAAATGAGAACAAGAAGGAATAGATGCAGTTATTTCAATAAACAATGGGCCAAAGAATAAAATATCTTACTAGCCGAATTTTGTCTCTAAGAGAGAAAATGATGAAATACCAAAACGTAAAGATGTTTATAAAATAAAATCTTCCAAATATAATAAAGTAATCTTCGATTAATTCAAAACGCTAATTGTTCAACAGATATTTATAAATAAAATATATATGAATAAATATATCCCAATAAAACTTTAAAATTACAAATTGTCTTTGTAATCGTAAGAAATTTTTAAACTCGTAAAAATTACTTTCTAGTTTATATTAAAATGACCATACGCGTTAATTTCACATTTCACAGGAGTTTTTTCCTTTCTTCTCCTAATCTCCTTAAAAATCAAAACCAAGAACAAAAATTAATTGTGGTACTGTGTTGTAGAGGCTTGAATATGTACTCATTATGTTCAGACATATTTGTTAGGTTTTCAATCTCTATTCCTGAATTTAACACTAATTTTTATCTTCTGTAGATATTGTTGCATCTTGTCTTGTAGCTTTACTTTCTGATCGAAAAATTTGATTGCATAAAACGAAACTTATATTTAGAATTATATTACGTTTATATATATTACATACAATTAGTATGTTTAAATTACTTATGTTCATATTTCAATTCATTTAGAAAAATTATTTTCAACAACTCTATTTTTTATCTTTAGTAACCGTATTTTTAAATCTATTGTCTTGTTTCCACTAATTTTCTTTTCCACACATTGTCCTATTTTTTAATAATATTTTTTTTTTATTTACTATGTATTGTATTGTCTAGTTAATTTGGATTAAATCTTTAATTCCTATTTTTAACCCTTTGACCTATAATATCGTGTGAGACTCTTTATAAAGGAATTTGGTCAAATACAAAAACTATAAGTGAAACAAAAACACGGATCAGACTTGTCTTTTGTCTCTTCTTGTAAATAACACGAGTCATCTTTCAAGACGTAGCGAAATAAAAATGCATTTTTAAATTACGCTATACTTCATCTTATTATTTAAGTCCCTTAACATTAGATAAATCGTTTACAATTGCATTCAATAATTTTCTAGATGTCTTGATTATGATGGTGAATCAATGATATTTTGTTTCCTGCACGAACACGTCAAAAGGAATTGGTACAACATAGTGATGCGTATAATTGGCGAATCTTCAACACAAATAATCATAAAGACTCATTTATTCACAAAGAAAAACTTATAAGTATCATAGATAAATAAAACAAAGTAATGAAAATTTTCAAAAAAAAAGCAAACATTTTCAAGATATTTATCAGCAAATAATTTTATTTCCAAGCAAAAAAAACCATTGTTGTGAACTTACACAATACTACCATTCAATGTCGTGTAGTTAATCGCTTAAGAATGTTTGGGACGTACAATTGGAGGTAAAGTGTAAAATTCGTAAATATTTACATTTTACAATATATTATGAAATAAATTCATTATGTTCCTGCTAGAAAAGAATGTATAATTAAAAAAAAGGGTGCAATTGTACCAATATTGTTGAATTAAATAAGAAATGATAAATAATATAAAAAAATTGTTAGTAACTTGTGAGGGTGAATACACTTTGAATTTGATTTTAAGGTAGAAGTCAGTTTGATTTAAATCATTATCGATTTAAATATTGAAGTATTAATAATGCTTGAATATTAATTATGACATTTTATGATGTTGGCTAGACAGTATATTTGTGTCCTTTGATTTTGTACAAACTCTATCCTTCTTCGTTCTGTATCATATATGTATAAATAACAAAGATAGAAGTTTCTTTTTATTTCTTTCTATCTAAAATACACTTTATTAAAATAGATAAAATACACCCTAGCTGTTTGTACTGGATACAAAATTACAGTTTTTTTTTGTTTCTGTAAGAAGAAACATTTTCCGAAATTTTCATTCTCTTCGTAGCATTTTGACATACATCTCAAACATCCTTAAGGAAATAATAAAAATTATAAATCTTTTTACCAAATTTCCAATTGGYCTTTGCAACAATGAATTTCCTGAATCAATATGTCGTAGAATGATTTTTTATTTTATTTCACTAAAATCAATGGAACAAATTAACACAATGGATATAATAACGAAGCTAGTGAAGATTCAACATTTTTGC